AATGAGCTGGCACCCCTTGACGGAGCGATGACCTGGGGCGGAAGCGCCAGTTCATCGAAGCTGAGACGTTGGTGGGGCAAAGGGAAGGATGATATTAGACCATGCAAAGAGATATCATAGAGAGATATGGTAATAGGTGTGACTGCTTCTTGTGTAGTTACTGGTACTACGTGATTGTTATGAGCAAATAATAACAGTGATGATATTCCCCAACAGGAACTGAAGAAAAGTAGGGTCGCTGATTATGCATAAAGGCGGAGAGAGCCAAGTGAACATGTGAACTAGTGTTATTACTATGTCTTACCTTACCGGACCGGTAATATTGCAAACCCATGATACCTAAGGAACGTGCAACATTCGAAGAACTACTAGATAGACTAGCCATTCCTCTTACAGAACTGTATGCAGTGTATGTCTTTGTTAAAGTAGCCAGAATTAAAGCAATAATGATTATCTGTCAACGTCTAACAGGAGTGATGAAACAACTCTTTTGAGTCACATCCCATCACCTCGCATTATCATTGCCAAGGAGGTCGAGTGCTTTTGGTTTTTCGTTATTAGACAGACACACAGGCAGTCGCCGAGCATTGCCATTGTGGCCCAGCCACCACGTTCGCATCCCTGCGCAACCCTACACTACGTGGTGCAAGTGCTCGGTACTACAACGTTGCCTTGGTATTCTTCCGGCTAAATAACTAGGTAAGTCGATGCTTCTGTCTGACATGGTCTCCTGATCCTTTCAGTAGGGTATTCTATGTTGCTTTCACCAACACAGGGTCTCTCGGTCAGAATTCGGACAAGATGCGCCAGATTAGAGGGGAAAGGTTGTAGTTTCATTCTCGTATGACACCATGGACCTTCGGGAAATTACGAATTCGGGTGCTCTTGTTAAATCGCCGGCAATCACCCTAAAGCAAAAAATCATTGCGCACATTGATAAACGCCCCAGCGCCGCCCTCTTCGCTAATCTCGTTGACAAGCACCTCTGTCTGTTGATAGAGCCGCTCCAGCGCGGCTGAAGATGGCTTCCCTAGTGACACTAGTAAGAGAATCAGCGTTAGTAATTGGCTGCATTGAAGCACACGAAAAAGCACAGCTGACCTAGAATGGCAGAATTAAGTTCTTCCGCAATAGCTACGCGTCCTGCAGGATCAAGGTAGTGGCCGTGCACTGATCGTTTCGGATCCTGATAGGCAACCAATGAGAAGATGTCATCCAGCACCTTCTTGTCGCCGCCTCGCTCGTCGTTTGGATAATCCATGCGTAACTGCTGCCCGTATTGAACCGCTTCGGTGAGAAGCTCGTGGAACTTCCCTGAGTTCTCGGATTCTTCGGTATCCATGCCCTCGGTGTCCCAGCCGTCACCTTCCTGTAATTGTTCATCAAGTTCCATCTCCTGGTCGAACACCGCACTGCCATCGGAAAGTCCGTTGGACGCTTTGCCTTTCTTCGACGCTGTCAAGGAGAGCTCGTTGCAGCGCCGCATCATCTCCAAGAACTTCCGGCACCGTAGCTTGAATTGAATGTGAGGATAGCTCTCTAGAACGTTCCCGTAGTAGGCATTTGTGTACTTGAGAGCCTTGTCGATGTCACCTTCTAGTATAGCAGCACGAATTTCTACCCGCCGAATTGTCAGACTGACTTATAATAATCGAGATCAATGAAAAGCAGTTGTGATCTTACTCTGTCGGTTGATCGCGTCAAGTCCTTCCTCCACTTCATACTTTGTGAGGGATTCCTTTCGACCATTCTCCAGAGCCGCTGACTCAGCAGCAACCTCTTCTGAGAAAGCCCGAGCGGTGTCGACATAGCCTTCATGAGCCAGGAACTGTGCGACTAGTTCTTGAAGCAAAGCGTTCTCATCAAGCGGTGGTTGTAGGTTGGCCGTGCTTGTTGCGTAGATCTCCGAATGAATGGAGAACTTCTCTCTCTACGTAATAAAGTCAGACTTCCTGCTAACGTCAGGCGGAGATACCTGAGGAACATACTTTGACCATGCCGTCTATGTCGAACATGAACGGCTGCTGACCGAAATTGGCGACCAAGTGTACAGGTGGTTGCTTCTTCATCCCCACAGAGGGATATACTTTCAAATTGCTTAATTCCCTAAAGGCGTTTCCTTGTCAAGAAAGTTAGTTTCTTTCACGTAGACTGATATCGAGGCGGCCGACATACCAAGGAAGACGCCATTCTTGGTGAAAAAAGCGCATCCGGTGGCGAAGTTAACACCACACCCGACAGTATCATTTGCACCAAACGTCGGGCCGTACGGTCGTCCCTGGCCCTGATTCTCCCCAAAAAATGATTTGCCATCATCACCGTGGTATGCCCAAGATTCTTGCTCCCACCCGGGAAGCCTCTCAACGGACGCTTTGCTGCTCGAGAACCCGATTCCTATCATCCTGCACACTGTCAGCACCTCCTCGTCAAATCCACGCGAAATACCTACCCTTCCTTAGGTTTTGATAGAATCGTAATCTCAAAGTAATAAATGCCACACTGCGGGGGCATGGGGTGATCAGCACGGACAGCGGCAGCCTCATGATCGTGCTTGTTGGCCGGACCGGGATACCGGATCTCAAGCCCCCCGTTTGTGAGCTCTAGACCGGAGTATTTATCATTATCGCTCCATCGTGAGGGGAGTGGCATGAGATGATCGTCGTCGCTCGGCGGTTCCCTTTCGATGATATCATACGTCATCCCACGATGGGAAGGAGCTATACGAGGCAAGCTTGCATGGCTAGAGGAAGTCGAGAGAGGGTTTGAAGTAGAAGCGGAAGGTGGAACATCTCGTTGAGAAGCGAGCTTTGTTCGGCGAGCGGCCTCGAGGCGAGCGATGTATCGGGAGTTGCGGAGATAGGATGGAGTAAATAATGAGGGATCGGAAAAGCTGCCGGGGTTCTGAAATAATGTATCGTATCGAGGAAGGTTGGCAAACTTCCGAGAATAAGGAGGAAGCGAATCGCCAGGCGTCGTCCTCCAGGGGGAGTTTAACTGCATATCTGCATCCAAGGCGGAGGAGGAAGGCCTCAGTAGTCGGCCGTTGGGGTAAAAGGGTGGGGGGTATGATGAAGTGGAGTTAGAGATAAGAGGATGGGAAGGAGGACTACTGTTGCTTGGTGGCGAGAGGGCAGTCCCGGACAGGACCGAGGCGTAGGAAGAACGGCGTGGAATAGATGAGATGCTTGGACCGGAATATGAAGTTGACAGAGGAGGAGCTCCTCGAGCTCCACCGGACGGGGGAAAAGGCGCATCGGTCATGCTGTCGTCGTTTCGCTGGATGGAGCAAAAGCCAACGGCCAGGCGGGTACTTTTAGTGACGAGGGGGGCATCCGACGGCCCTCACGCGAGCTTCTCTCGAGGCAGTACCACGCTCATTCCACGGTTAGCAGCCGACACTCGATCAAATAAATCATCACCGTTTGGTCGGTAGAGTAATAAGTTAGTTTTTGACTCTCTTGACAGCCACCAAAGTCTCTATCCTCTTTTGCTCTGTCCGTTGTCGCTTGCGGTTGAGTGGTGCACTTTTGTTTTCCGTGAAGGCAGAATCAAGAACAAGCAGCAGTAACAGCAACAGTTGGAGTGTCACTACTAATCAGCTCGTCGACCGGAGTAAAATCGTAGCAGATAGGGAATAGCGTCAATGTTGATGATACAGCTCGAGCCAGCACCGTACTTCTGAATAAAAGAAAGCAATCAAAACTAGAACGGGGAACGCCGTGCTAGAGTGACGGAATAGTAAGTAAGAAAGGACAACACGCAGCAGTAATCGCTACCCGTTCGACGAGAGAGAAATTACTGAACGAGCTTGGAGCGACCGAAGAAGGGGAAGTCGCACGAGACCATGATGGCATGAGAAGGAAGAATTAGGACTGCGGGGAAAGGACACGGACTGGACGGGGGCTTCTCATTTGGGGTTGGAATGGGATAAAGAGGAGGTAGTGGTATATGCTACAGGGGCAATAATAATAAGAAAGTACATACTCGCAGCGATGTGGTCACCAGACGAGTGATTGATTCATCAATCCTGGCATTACTGGCTCTACTGAGGTCGGCTGTGCACCACCTAGGACGATCCTACGATATGCTTGCTCTGGCTGAGAGTATATATGCATTACTATGTCGCCGACATGACCAGTACACATCATACCACTCATGGTACTAAGCACATCCGGATCAGTTTATTTCATTCCAATTATGTACGGGAACATAAGTAATAAGCACCAGCGATAAAGCCCCTCTTTTTTTTTTTTAATGGCAATCCTGGCTGATTCTAGCAGCAGCTGATCTGACAGTCGCTTCCCCTCTGTCGGACAATCTCCTGTCAGTTTGTTTCAAATAGCCAGCAATACCAGAATAGGACCGTTCGAAAGGCCAGTGGGTGTGCTATTTCGATACTGTACGCACATCCAGTCAAAATATTAAAGAGCTATGGGAAGGAATAGTGCTGGCAACGACGGGCGATGTCCACTGATGAAGTGGCTGAATGAACGAGGACGGCAGAGTGAATTATCCTCGAAATTTTCAACACGTAGAAAGCATGACAAGTTGAAATGATTTTCTCTTTTCTCTAATGCATGGGATTGCCCATGTCCAACATACTCAAACAGACTCAATCATCCGACGGACTCCTGTATACCCGACATATGCAGTGCAAAAGGCCATATCCTAATATCCTCCTTTGGAACCCTAGTGATACATAGACAGAGATTATTCAAGCAAAACTAGCACACGATATGAATATCGAGAGCACACCTCTGACATGCAGCAAAAAATGTTTTGATGCCATGCCGCAATAGTGGACATTACGACGAGAACAGAGAAAACCAGCAACGATATGTGACAGACATAAAACGCCAACGCCGAGAAAAGCGGCCTTCAAGACACAAAACCACACGCTTGAAGTCGTCAAAATGAAAAAAAAAGCGGAATCAGAGTAATATTGTACAAGAAGAGTAAAGGGTGAATAGAGGGGCATAGTAAACTTCAGCTGGACGAAACTATGCAGTCATAGCAATTGCTGGTGAAGATGCTTCGGTAATATTAGGAGGGACCGGAGTCAGCTCCATATCGCCGGAGTTGCTTTTCTCGCTGGGCGCACCGCTAGCACTCTGGTTGGCCTTGCTGTCACTATCACCGGTGTCGAGAGCGGCTTCTTTCATCTCGCCGTTTGTCTCGGTCTTTTGTGGTCGAGGAGCTCGCCATGATGGCAATTGCCACTGGACACCAGTGAAGCTCTTCAGCTGAAGGGCCTTCCGTTCCCATTTGCGACAAGGGGTTCCAGATCGATCCAAGGCGCGAAGACCGGCGTTGATGGCACCCATGTTGGCCTTGGGTCCCAACCGGGAGGAGGTTACCTTGACAGAATCGCCAGTACCATCGTCACTGTAGAATGTCAGAGTTAGCAATGTGGTAAAAGACAAAAGGACGGCGAGGGAACAATGACGTACAGTCTGGGCTTCTTCTTCGGGCCAGGCTTTCCCCTCGGTCTAGAGAAAGATTCGGTCGCTTGGCCAGCGCTTCGCTTGGTTCCCGACTTGGGAGCCGGTAAACCGTTGCGACGAGGGGTATCTGCGGCGGATGTCCCAGGAGCAGGAGTAGATGCGGCATCTGAAGCATTGTCGACGGACGATGGTGGGATGGGAGGGTCTGCAGAGGACGAGGCAGGAGACGAGGGCTCTTTCTCCTTGACGGGTGGACTCGCGCTGGTGCTATTTTTCTTGGTCGCTTTTTCTTTCCCATCCGGACTAGCAAACCGACTGAGCAGTTCCGGCGACAACCTGAGGACGACGATTGCCTTGGGGGCCGCAGAGCGGTTGGAACGACCGTTTGTGGTGGATGTAGCAGCCGCCATTGTTTTCATCTGAATAGAGAGATGTTTGCCTTTCTCTTCGGAGGTAAAACAGTGATTTTTCTTTTACTTTTACTCTTGACAAAAGCTATGGCTAAACCCGTCAAGAGCAAATGTAGCAGTGTCGATTAAATGTGTGACACGGGGTGATTAGAATGTAAATGTGATCGTGACGTGAGTGTCAGATGGACAAATTGCGTAGGTTAGGTTGAGTTAGTTGGTTCCAAGACGTTCGAAAGCGGAGGGCGACACTTGGTCAGGGCGAGGCAAAACTCTGGCAGGGCTGAGGTCGGTAGCAAAGGTGAAGCAGAGGTGACATAGTCCGAGGAAGCGGTAGTGGTGATGGTGGTGATGATGATGATATTGGGGTAAGTAGAGAAAGAGAGGAAGAGGAGGGTGAGGAAGGAATAATAAGGAAGGATGGACGGGGGATGGAAGAAAGGGATGGGGATGTCGAGGCGCTGTGTGGTGGTTTCATTGTTGGTTGGTTTGTGTGTGTGTTTTTCTTCTTCACTCGTCTACTTTAGGGGAACTCAGCCAGACTTTCGTTCGGTGCGGTCAGTCAGGTCGATTGTCAGGGTGAGGAGGCCGATGGATGGGAGAAAGTATGGGAATGTCAGACCGGCGTTCGAGTGTGGTATTATTACCCAGGTACGCGTCTAATACCAATCAATTAAGCAGAGAATGAGTCCAGATCTCTGTAAATGACAGTACCGTACACATCACGCTATGACCAATAATACACATACTGTTTGGCCCTATAGAGAGGCATGCTTTCAGTATAGGGTAGTATAATGCCTTCATTTGTGTATCTTAAATTCCTATTGCTATGGGCGAAACTGAAATGCCTGTTTACCTTATAGATGACCCATTGACACAGGTCTCTGCCATTGACTTTCTTTATTGTCAACGGTCATCGAATTACTCCGTCTAGGTCCTTCCTCGCCGTACGCGTCCAGAGATGATCGTTATTCACCCTAAAGTACTCCGTAATAGATCCTGCTCAAGAGCTGCGCCTTGTAACCCCTCTCCATGACCAGGATCTCATTGAATGCAATATATAGCACTGTACTATATTCGTATCTCATATTCATTTCTATATTCGCCGACAACTCCAGAGACTAGTACACTATTACTTTCCAAATGGTGTTACTCGAAATAGTGCAATCTTATGGATTGGTATCTATCCCGCATCAACCCGGTTACCTAGACTAGATTCTGAATTCCTCAGCTTCCGTCTTGCCGGATCCCATCCAATATCCATAAGAATCTCCGTCGAATGTGGACTGTGGACTGTGATGGCCCTATAGCTGTATTGACTTTTACAAGGTAAAGGCCCTTACTGGATGGATCACAAGCATCACCATCATGCTACTCCGTAAAGCATCACCACCACCATCTATCACTTGACAAGACACCACCATTCATTCACCTGATGCATCAATTGTCATCGAGTATTTCACACAGTGTCTGGCCTGGATCACAACCAGATTAATGAATCAAGCAATTCCATCAATGATGAACAGGATCATCATCATCATCGTCCCAGTCCCACAGATCATCTCAATACAATCTTACTTCTGTAGCCAAGAAGCGCAAGTAACGAGACTGCTCGAGAACCAAGAAAATCAGCGCCCCCCGACCGGCTCGCCACATTCGGAACGAATCCACGATCGCAGAAAGAAAATCCACTTGAGGGCAAAACGAAATTTCCATTCGCATCCGTAATCGTAATTGCGCAATCCTAGCTCAGAGACTAAGTACTAAACCGCCCAGCCTCGGGAAATGAGAAAATTTCCTTAAATCCATGGAAATTGATGAGATGCGCAAGCGGCTTCGTGAACCGTCCAGTGTATCCGGATGTTTCCAGTTACTCTGTCACTAATGTAGAATGATTTGGAATGGCCTAATGGTTATTATTTGGGGATGGTGCTGATGTTTTCTCAGACTTGAGGTTGTTAGGTCAATAGGTCTACAGTTCCAATGTATATATTGAATATCTACACGCGCAAAAAAGCTTCCAAAATATATTCAACGCTGGTATCAATGCAAATGACAGGTGTATAACGTGCGAGCGGCCGGATTCAATCAGCCTTGCCATTCTTTTCCGGCTTCTTGCGCTCCATTACCTGCGCTATAGCCTGCTGAACTTCTGGACTGGCTCTCACACTGCTCAGCACAAGACCCTCCTTCATTCCCTTTCGCAAGGTTGCAGTCCCTTCCCGGTCTCCTCGGAAGGGAGCAAGGCCCAGCTGAAGAAGCCGTGTAGCCTCGCCGTCCGTAGCCCGGGAGAGTTGAGCCAGCTGCGCGAGCCGTTGCATGGTCTGTGGATGGATACGCTCGCCTGGCGCAGATGAAGATCCCTTGCTCACTTCTGGCGGCGTCAGCTGGGAGATGAATATATGTAGAGTGACCGAAGCGCGCTGCGCAAGCGTCAGGATCTGGAACGGTAAGAGGTAGAAAGTGGGAGAGATTCCCAACAAGCTTCGGATGGCCGGTGGGATATAGAATCCAGGCATGAAAAGCGCCTTAGGGCGAGTGATCAGGGCTGCTTCGAGCGTGATGAGCGCAGCAAAGGTGAAGAAACGCCACTGATTCAAGTTAGTAGACTGATTCCATTGCTTCAGGAAAGACCTTGGTTGATGACTTACATAGCGACCCCAGTTTGACCAATAAGTAAAATTCAGAACAATGATAGTCACTAATCCAACCACATACTGCGGTACCGATCGCTGCAGCCCAGCAAACAGAAAGTCCTGCATCGTCTTCCGATCACCCCAGGACAGCATATCTGGGCCAAACCGGTCGTATGCGAATCGCTTGGCAGGGTCCAATAATGTATCCTGTGCCAGCTTCAGATACACAAAGTAATCATCGGATGGGCCACCATCCCCGTAGCCGCGCTTGTCTGGGTGATGTTGAGCAGCAAGCCGCCGAAATCGCGACTTGATAGTCCTCTCGTCGGCCAAGGGAGAGACACCGAGAGCGCGGTAGAAATCGCCGGTAACCTGGACTTGATGAAATGTTTCGTAGAGCGTGTACAGGAGATAGCTCGTGACGACTAGGATGAAGATGCGACGGCGGTGCCGAGCATACCGCGGTGATGGTGGCTGGGGCCGCGGCTCCCCCGCGCGGATTGTGATTCCATAGTAGACATTCTGGAGTATCGAAGTCACATACTGCAAGCGACGCAATAGTGTTAACAAGAGTATGAAGATAAGAGGTTGATATGCGCTCAATCATCTGTGCGGAGGTACCTACATTTGGAAGCACAGCCCACCCAACAAAGGACAACAGGGACGACATGACTGCAGATACACTCTCTCCATCAAGCAATAAAGCGCCGTATTCAATTATGCGACGACTCTATTAGAAAGATGGACGGCGATGTTTACTCTGGCACTGGAGTTGCGATATGGTTCGCTGTCATCATCTTCACCGCCTCACACACCGCCTACCAGATTCTCCCCAACGGGGAAGAAAGTTAAAAAAAGCGAAGAAAAAAAGTTCTCGATTTCTGCAAGTCGATATTCAACACTCCAATAGATAAGACTTGGGGCGTTCCCATTGCACAATGGCTGTCGATGCAATGGATGTAGACTCGAGCCCTGCGCCTGCGGCAGTGGCTGAGCCTGAGCGCAAGCGCAAACACAAGCACAAGGACCAGTCCTCGAAGAAGAAGCGGAAGCACGACTCCAAGCTGATCGCCGACGAGACAACAGTCCACGAGACGACAAGCAAAAAGTCCTCCAAGAGCAAAGAGAAGAGCAAGCAAAAGTCGTCTGAGGACGCACCATTACCCTCCGACTCGCCTTATGTTCTGACCACCGCCACTCTTTACCTTCCGCTATCGCCCATCTCCATCTCGCCCACCCATGCGCTGGCCTCTCTGCTGGCAGAGCACCTCTCGCCTCTCCTCCTCACATACTACCCGCCTTTACAGGGTGTGATCCTGGCCTACTCCAACGCCTCGATATCGAGCGAACCGCCGAGCGCGTCTTCCCCGTCATCTGATCCCCAAGACAACCCGCAGCCGTTGACGCTCGCAAAGACAGCAGACGAGTACGGCGTCCTGTACATCTACCTGACAGCCACATTCCTAGTCTTCCGCCCGCAGCGCGGCCAGATTCTGGAGGGCTGGGTCAACGTCCAGTCCGAGGGCTTCCTCGGCGCCGTCGTCCTGAACCTGTTCTCCGTCGGAATCGAGCGCAAGAGACTCCCCTCGGACTGGAAATGGGTCCCACCTGGCGAAGAAGAAGAGGAAAACGGATTCAACAGCAGCGAAAAGCCAAAGAAGAAGGTCTTCTCGTCGACCGAAGATGAAGACGACTCGGAACCCTCGTCCCACTTTGACCCGGAAATGGAACACTTCAAGCCCATCTCGCTCGCCTCCAACGCCAACCCCTTCTCCGAAACCATGGACCTTAACAATGGCTCCGCCGACGACGACGAGTCCGCCGCAGAGGGCTACTTCCAGTCCGTCTCGGGCCACCGCGTCCGCGGGACCGTCCGGTTCAGAGTCGTCGATATCGACGTCATCCCCGGTTCTGATCGCGAGCGTGGCTTCCTCAGTATCGAGGGTACCATGCTGTCGCCCGAAGAGGAAGCCCGAGTCCTCGAAGACGAGCGCAATGGGAATTACTCTTCTATGACCCCTCGACCACAGGGCCAGTGGGAACCCTCGAGCGCTATGTCCGGCGCATTAGCAGGTTCGTCCTCGGCTGCTCCTAGCACTGCCGATGCAGGCGCCGACGCCGACGCAGGTACGGGAGCCTTGGAAGAATCACCGAGCAAGAAGAAGGAGCGCAAGACGGAAAAGGAGAAGAAATCCAAGCCCTCGAAATCAAAGAAGAAAAAGGAGGAGAAATGATCCAGACGAACGATGATAACTAACTAGTTCTTGTCATTTACCATAGACGCACGACGTCTTTCCCTGTTATATATTGAATGCTTGTTTGGCGTTAGAAGGGAGAAATCAAAATTCATTCAGCGTTGTCATGGTATCTGCTAGTGAAATACAGAGAAGCCCTCCCCCCAAACCACGTCCTGAGCCGTACTGGCATCGGAACTTGATAGATGGCTTGGATGAGCTACACAATACACAATCTTGAAGCACCTGGTTTTTGATATCAAATTCAACCCGTCATATGCACGAACTGCGTGACCATGGATCACATCGTCACCTCCTGCGGCACGTCAACCGCCAACACATCCACTCCACTCTCAATCTGCGACTTGGATGGCATGTTGCCCCGCCGCATCAACTCGGCGCACTTGGACATAATGGGATCCATGCCCATCGTCGCGACTGCCACCACGGTCTCGCCCTTGCAGTAGTACGCGGCGAACTTGGCATTGTCCGGCTCGCCCTTGAGCACCAGTCCATCCCAGCCATTGGGGGCATTCCCGCAGTAGCGCAGCTGCGCACCCAAGGCGGACCAGAAGATGGGGATGAACGCCTTGGCACGCAGGGACTGCAGCGAGCCGGTGTTGAGGGCGTGGACGATCGCGCGGCCGACGCCGCGGCCTGCATTCTGCGCGACGTTCCAGTGCTCGATGCGGGTGGGGGTGCCGTTTACCGGGTCTGCGCCGGGTCCGCGGTACGGGTACGTAGCGATGTCGCCGATGGCGAAGACGTCGTTGTTCAGGCCGGGGACGGCAAAGTACTCGTCCGTCTTGAGGGAGCCGTCCTTCTCGAGCTGGAGTGCTGGGTTGTCCTGCAGGAAATCGGTGGCGGGGCGGACGCCTACGCCCAGGATGACCAGATCTGCGGGCAGCACAGTGCCGTCTTTGAGGTGGACGGCGCCGACTTTGGTGGGATCGGCCGCTGACGGGGTTGCCTTTTCGACGCCGGTGGACATCTTGAACTTGACGCCGTTCTTCTCCAGGTTGCGCTGGAAGATGCGGCCGACTTCGATGCCCATGATGCGCTCCATGGGGGCTTCTTCTTGGCCGACGATGGTCACCTCGTTCTCCTTGGAGAGGGCGTTGCCGACTTCCATACCGATGAACGAGCTCCCCACAATGACAATCTTCTTGTTCTTGTCGCCAACAGCCTTGAGGATGTTCTGCACATCGGTCACGAAGCGCAGCAGGAAGATGTTTCCAAGGTCATTGAAGCCTTCCATGGGCAGTGTGCGCGGCACACCACCGGTAGCAAGAACCAGCTTGGTGTACGGGATGGATTTGCCGGACTTGGTGGAGACGGACTTGCTGCTGAAATCGACCGAGGTCACTTCATCAAGGATGGTCTCGATGGAGGCGGCCTCGTACCACTCCTTAGGGCGCCACTGGATCTTCTCGGCATCGGGAATGAGTGCCTTGGACAATTTTGTCCTGTCAATGATGAGGTTCGGTTCTTTGGAGATAATTGTGACCGCTCCCTTGTACTTCAGTTCACGGAGGGCCTGAATGAGCCCGAGCGTACCGCTTCCACTATAGAGCACGACTCGTTAGCTGTGTAGACTCTGGCGCTTCAGAAATTAACCTTACCCGCCAACAATGACCACCTTCTCCCCAGTGGAAGGGCTGCATTTAAACACCGGATCCCTCTGTCCAGATTTGATCGCAGTCTCCTCACCCTTGATATAGACCGCACCGTTCTTCTCCACAAGCTCGAACTTGTTCAATGCGTTAGGGGCAGGTGCATCTTCCACATCACCGCTGCCAATATTGAAACAGGCTACCCACGATGATCAGCATGTACACAGCCCACTCCCTTACCAGGACCCCAGGACCTACATACCTCCATGCCACGGACAGGTGATTCGACCATCAGGAGCAACGACTCCCAGCTTCAGCGGAGCCCCGTAATGAGTACATTTGGGGCTCATCGCATGCACCTGGCCATTGAAACGCAGGACCAGGACCTTGCCGCCCTCCACGCCCTCGACCTCGGACTCGACCTTGTCCATGTTCTTGATGTCCGCTAGGGACGAGATGTCCTTGAGTTTGTATTCCTGCGCCATTCTGGATGGTAATGTGCGGGATAGTGCGCGCGAAGTAGTGGTTGTAAATGATCTAGTAGCTTTGGTTAAAGGGGACAGAGAGGGTGGATGAACACAGCAGGAGCAGGAGCACGAGGCGGAATTGCGACAACCACAGGCACAGCGGCCGGCGCGATTGGAAGAAAAGGATGAGGGTAGATGAGTAGAAGAGGATAGAGAAGAAGGAGAAACTTGGAGCCTAGATAAATTGCAGCAGATGCGTGACCCGCGGGGGAGGGGTAAATGCATAAGGAATCCTGTTGGACGATGACGATTGATCAATGCAGAGTAGAGCAAGAGTATTATTCTTTCTAGGGAGAATTATTAAGTTTGGTAGGACATATACGCGGGAATCATTCATTCCCTTTCTTCTATCTTGACATAGACTAAAGGTATTGGAGTCGATACTTCATCTATCCATCTACCCATCGATGTACTGCTTCTGCTGCTTCTCTCTGTTGGGGTGATGGACGATGACGTAGTGACAGATGCTGGCTCTCTGACCAATCACAGCACTCGAATTGTCATCCACCATATATCATCAAAACAAGAACAGGATTTGATACGATATTAATGGGGAATAATGTGGTCCTATATGATATCAGTTCCGGTTCTACCGATAACCACATCAACTGTCCAAAGGTCAATCCGTTACCAAAAGTGTGAAGGAAACATCATATATCCGCTCGCCTAGTGGCTTCGGGTCGACCGTGCCAATTCCGCCACGCCACGACGCAGACAAAGAAAGAGGTAGAGCACGAATTAAGGTACTGAGCAAGTGCTGCGGAAGATCGTGAGATTGAGCAAATTAGATATATATGAGACTCGTAGAATAGGTACAAATAAAAGACATTATGTACACTTCAACTCCTTCAGCGCCTAACATAGCAACATATGGACAATAAACAAAATACATTCACAGCAAATAGGTATTTACGAATCCTTCTTCCACCATTTATGTTTCTGGCTGGGTGGCTAGACACGTGTCATTCAGCGTCTGCGTCTGACTCCGGATGAAGAAAGCCTGGTGCGCCTCCGCGTGCTCGGAACATTCTTCTGCACCCACCCAGAGCCTCGCGGCAGTCGATGTGATTTGGCAAAGTCCTCGTCGCTTCCGCCAGGCGAAACCGGCGGACTGGACTGAGTCAGATCGACTATATTCGAGAGCTGCGAAGCCGTGGGAGGCTGAGTGCCAGACGCCTCGTCATGCCGGGTCAGCCAGTTGCTTTCTTGGATTGAACTCATCAGGGATCGGTCTTGAGGTGTAGGAGACCTCTGCGGCTGTGCGCTGGTAGGGGTCTTGCGGGATATGGGAGTGGACAGCTTCGACTTTGGCGGCGCAGAGTCCGCCGCTGATCCGTCTTCTTCTGTGACAGTATCGCCCTTGGCTTTCTCCGAGCGTCGTCGCAGGCGCTCTTCATGGGCCTTGTCGACTTCGTAGAATGGGTTAGGCACGAAAGAACTTGAAGACGATGATGCCCGCGACCGTGGCATCTTCGGACTCTCGCTTGGCTCTTTCTTCGGACCCGGCGAGCCCGGAGTGGGCCGCTTGCCCTGGAAAAGCTGTTCAAGCAAACGGTTGAAATTAACGAAATTGTCCGGGCTGCTGAGCAATTGCAGGCCGTCATCCGAACGCGTCGCTGAAGGGGCGTCATTGAAGGCGTTGGGAGGAACAGTAGACCGAGGGGTTGAGGGCGCCTCTGTGGGTTGTGGAAGGGAATTGGATTGTTCTCCATTATCATCGCCCCCGTCTGCATTCTGAGTAGCAGCAGAGGTGACTTCGCGATTCTCCTGCTCAGGGCTCGGCTCTGGGAGCGATGGTTGCGTCTCCGCTTGAGGAGAGTGAAATCCAACGAATAGTGGTGATTGTACAACAGGACTGGCGTCTTCTTCTGGACTGCTACCTCCGGTCCCTTTCGCGGTATGATCAACTGCCTCGACGGCTTCGTCTGCACCCGTTTCAAGATTCTCACGAGCATGCGAACTGACAGACGGTTGGGAAGAGTTCCTATTGCTATCATTGACTGCCTCGACCTCCCGCATTGTTTCATCCTCGCCGGTCGTCTTGGAATTCTGAAGACAGGAGCCCTCAGCTGCGGAGGAGCTTGTTTTGGGTGAGCGCATGAACGCCAGACAGTTCGAGTAGTGGAAGAGGATCAATGTACTGACTTGCTGACTTTGTCGGCACCCCCAACGTCTGCCACATCCGCAGCTTGAACGACCTTCGCATCAAACAGATCGGCGAATGATATCTCTCGGAAACCGTCGTCTTCGGCTTGATCGTCGTCCATTCCGGGCATTTCGAACTTGTCATATCCTCGAGTGCCGTCTTCTTCGTCATCCTCGTCAGGTTGCTCGACTTGTCGCCGATCGCGCTTGGCAAGCTGCAGCTTGAGTACATTGTCTTCGAAGACGTCGTTTATCCTCGCCACAAGATAATCGGACACGGTAGGTTGCCAGTTCGTCTCCTTGGACACAACAAGCTGTTTGAAAGCGATCACGGATCCTTGCTTCAAATCGCCTTCCGTCAGATCCCGGACAGAGCTCAGATCCGCTGGTAGGGGAGGAAGATCGTCCTCTGTGTTTTCTGATGGCTCTGTACCCGCTGGCTCGACTCCATTCGTGGGCTCGGTGCTGAGCTGCTGCTCTGGATCATCGTAATTGAGCTGCATGTCCTCTTCGGTATAATGTTCATTATAATCCTCCGCGTAATCTTCGTACTCGTCTGCCTCGTAGACCTGCAGTTGCTGTCTTCTCTTCCTCTTGCGCCCCCAGCCCTTGCGCTTCTTTATGATTTGATGAGCCTCGGCATCCCAGCGCTGTTCAAACGGGAAAGGAGGTGCAGAAAGCTCGATGTCATCGAAAACACATTCAGTAGCTTTGA